GCTGTCAAACATCATTCTTCCTTATTTTTCAGATTTTGTCAAACACCTCTTATTTTTTAGTGTTTCTTTTGTAATAGGCTATGAGTTAACATTGCAAGTTAATTGTTTTTAGGCTATTCATTTTTTTTCCCATAACATTAAGCATCCTTTTATTTCAACCTGGAGTCTAATAAATGTGAAACAGGAAGAATAAAATGGTAGCTTATATAAGCTGCATTTATTTATGAATATATAGGCTTCCTAGCCTGTATTAATTTAAATGGGCCTAACGGAATTTTTTTTTTAAATAAAATAATTTGACTATATATACACTAATTATATCTAATATATTTGAGGATGATGAGGAAATATCTCTACAACTCTCAAATGAAGTCAAAGAGTTTCCAGTGTTGGCCGTTGGGAGTGTTATTTAGCCTACTGTACACTTAAAAAAAAAATTACGGTAAAAAACGGCAGCTGTGGTTGCTGGAATTTTACCATAAAAAAAATTCGGTAGCAACGTTTTAGGTTTTAACTTAAATTTACAGTTAAATAGCGTAATTTCATTAACTGATATAATGTTAATATACCAACCTATTGAAGGACTGACATCTGTTTTGTAGCTTTGTAATACACTGATAACCACCAAATGCAGGAGGTGATGAGAAAGTCACATGATGAACCAAAGCCCATCACAAGCAGCTTTTAAATAATAACATATATAGAAGGAGCACAGTATCGTTCACACAAACACTAAACACCATCACGCTAACACACATGAGACTGAAATAATGCAATAAACATTCATTTAACAACATTAGGTGTAACACACAACCCTAATATACACAACTGATAAGAAAAAACTAAGACGAAACATCACATTTGAAATGTAACGCAGGGAATTCTGGGAATGTCAATTTACGGTTATTCACTGTAAATTATACGGTCTTTTTCACTTCCAAAAACGGTATACTACCGTAAAATTAATGTCCAATACAGTTTTTCACCGTGTATAGTAGGGGAATTTACCGCTAACCATTTAACAGGTTTTTACTGTAGCATTTTTACAGTCGTTTACCGTTAAATTCACAGTCATTTTTTACAGTATACTGATCAAATGAAAATGAAAATAAACAAATAAAATGTATTATTACTTTTGTTTCGGAAATAAATAAAGCAGTATTTTATATTTTGTTCTAACTGGTAACTATGGAACCGGAACAAGAAAAAAATTGCATTTTTGCCCAGAACGAACTAATTCGTTTTTAAGGCCTGATTTGACAATAAGTCTACGTAATTGTTCGGTTATAGTAAAAAAAAAAACAGCATTAGTAATGTTGCAATTAACTAAATGAATCAGGAAATGCTTAATGACACGTTCACACAGAACGGTTGCTTTGAAAGACGCGAGGAGTGGAATGGGGGTAAAACACGTTTAAGGTCTAGTTTTTAAGTTTTTAGAACGCCGTGTCATGCGCGAGAGGCTGACGAGAGCGCAGCGCGTTCTGTGGCCCCCAAGTGAGTTTAGTCAAAATGTTAACTCTTTACCATGCCAGAACAGACTCAATTGCTCTCGCTATTCCCCC